ATACAGCTCAGCTCCTGGACTCCCACATGTACCCACTGCACTTTGCACTCAGTTCCAGCCACACAAACTGCGCTTAGTCCTACCTGCAGGACTTGGCTCATATTGGCTTTCCCCACAGAGGATCCTCCCCCACTAATCTAAATCTAATACCTCTTTTCAAGGCCCTACACTTTGCAGAGCACTTCTGTGTTTTTTAAAAGCTTTTCACTGTAAAACAGTTCTACTTCACTAAAATTTCCTGAAATCTCAATGTCCTTAAGATGACTTGGCACTTCCTAGGTATCTTTTGTACACCTGCTCTCCATCAGGCTGGGAACCGACTGAGGATACACAGTTTCCAGTCTGTGTCCATCACACAAAGCATGTTCAGCTTTTAGCTGAATCTGGACGACCCTCTGCTTAATGTGACTCTCTGGCCCATCACCTTAATGACCAGCAGCATGATGGGGTCAAGAGAGTGAGCTCTGGACTCACACTGCCAGGGTCAAAGGCGGTCTCCACCAGTGAACAGCTGTGGGACCTCAGGCAATAACTAACCTCTCTGTGCCTTTTTTTTTTCATCTATAAAAACAGGAAAAATAATAGTAGCTTCCTCACAAGGTTACTGGAAGGTTTAAACAATACACGTTAGGAGGCACTGGGCACACAGTAAGAGCACAATAAATGTTAGCCATTATTTTGACACCCTTTACCTAAAAGGTAAAGATCTAGGTTTAAAAAATCTTTCAGGAGGACATCAAGATGGAAGAACAGACCTTGAAGGGATCTGGGCTGACCATGGTTCTAAGTCCACAGCATGGTGAGACTGCCTAAAAAAGTCAATGAACCAAACAGACTTAATTGATATTTATATAATTAAAGTGGCAGGATACAGTTTCCTCTCAAGTACTCACAGAATATTCTCCAGGATAGATCACCTCTTGGGTCACAAATCAAGCCTCGGTAAATTTAAGAAAATTGAAATCGTATCAAGTATCTTTTTCAAACCACAACACCATGAGATTAGAAATCAATTACAGGAAAAAAATTGTAAAAAATACAAACACATGGAGGCTAAACAATACGCTACTAAATAACCAAGAGATCACTGAAGAAATTAAGAGGAAATAAAAAAATACCTAGAAACAAATGACAATGAAAACACGACAACCCAAAACCTATGGGATGCAGGAAAAGCAGTTCTAAGAGGGAAGTTTATAGCAATACGATCCTACCTCAAGAAACAAGAAAAATCTCAAATAAACAACCTAACCTTACACCTAAAGCAGTAGAGAAAGAACAAACAAAACCCAAAGTTAGTAGTAGGAAAGAAATCATAAAGATCAGAGCAGAAATAAATGAAATAGAAACAAAGAAAACAATAGCAAACATCAATAAAACTAAAAGCTGGTTCTTTGAGAAGATAAACAAAATTGATAAACCTTTAGCCAGACTTATGAAGAAAAAAAGGGAGAGGACTCAAATCAGCAAAATTAGAAATGAAAAAGGAGAATTTACAACTGACATCACAAAAATACAAAGGCTCATAAGAGACTACTACAAGCAACTATATGCCAATAAACTGGACAACCTGGATGAAATGGACAAATTCTGAGAAAAGTACAACCTTTCAAGACTGAACCAAGAAGAAATAGAAAATATGAACAGACCAATCACAAGTAATGAAATTGAAACTGTGATTAAAAATCTTCCAGCAAACAAAAGTCCAGGACCAGATGGCTTCACAGGTGAATTCTATCAAACATTTAGAGAAGAGCTAACACCCATCCTTCTCAAACTCTTCCAAAAAATTGCAGAGATGGAACCCTCCCAAACTCATTCTATGAGGTTACCATCACCCTGACACCAAAACCAGACCAAGATATCACAAAAAAAGAAAATTACAGGTTAATATCACTGATGAAAATAGATGCAAAAATCCTCAACAAAATACTAGCAAACAGAATCCAACAACAGATTAAAAGGATCATACACCATGATCAAGTGGGATTTATTCCAGGGATGCAAGGATTCTTCAATATACACAAATCAATTAATGTGATACACCATATTAATAAATTAAAGAATAAAAACCATATGATCATCTCAATAGATGTAGAAAAAGCTTTCAACAAAATTCAACACCCATTTACGATAAAAACTGTCCAGAAAGTGGGCATAGAGGGAACCTACCTTAACGTAATAAAGGCCATATATGACAAACCCACAGCAAACATCATTCATAATGGTGAAAAACTGAAAGCAATTCCTCTAAGATCAGGAACAAGCCAAGGGTGTCCACTCTTGCCACTATTATTCAACATAGTTTTGGAAGTCCTAGCCATGGCAATCAGAGAAGAAAAAGAAATAAAAGGGATACAAATTGGAAAAGAAGGAAAACTGTCACTTTGCAGATGACATGATACTCTCCAGAGAAAATCCTAAAGATGCAACCAGAAAACTACTAGAGCTAATCAATGAATCTGGTAAAGTTGCAGAATACAAAATTAATACACAGAAATCTCTTCCATTCCTATACACCAACAATGAAAGGGCAGAAACAGAAATTAAGGAAACAATCCCATTTACCACTGCAACAAAAAGAATAAAATACCTAGGAACAAACCTACCAAAGGAGGCAAAAGACCCGTCCTCAGAAAACTGTAGAACACTGATGAAAGAAATCAAAGATGACATAAACAGATGAAGAGATATACCATGTTCTTGGATTGGAAGACTCAATATTGTGAAAATGACTACACTACACAAAGCGATCAACAGATTCAATGCAATCCCTATCAAATACCAATGGCATTTTTCACAGAACTAGAACAAAAAATTTAACAATTTGTATGGAAACACAAAAGACCCTGAATAGCCAAAGCAATCTTGAGAAAGAAAAATGGAGCTGGAGGAATCAGGCTCCCTCCCTCACTGTAAGATAACACCTCCTAAAAACCAGAACTGTCTGGAGATGGGCAGTCTCCAGAGGTAGTGAATTACCTGTCACAGGAGGTGTTCAGGAAACTGTATATCCTGGATTGTAAAGCAGCGACTATTTTTCTGTTTGGGTCACAGATCCCTGGAAGCATCTGATAATAGTGAACAGAATTCTTTCCCCCCCAAAACACACAAATATACAGTAACATAAATATCTGCAATTTCAGGAAAGGGCCAAGTAAGAACTCTTAGCCAGAATCTCCTAATTAAACAAATATCTATTGATCAAGGCACAGGAGAAATTTAAGGCTGTATTTCCTTTAGGCATCCTTCAAAAGATTAATCCCCTATCCCAGCCAGCGGTGATTTTTCCCTTCTGTGAATTTACTTATGGCATTTACTATATTCTGCCACAGTTATTTAAGTTTGTCTTGTTTAAAAACCTAGAGGTATCTTGAGGGCACTGCATCCACCTTTTGTTCATTAATTCACTAAAGGTACATAAAACAAGACTCCTGTTTTCAAACAGCTTAAAGTGCAAAATCAAACATAGAATCTTAAATCTGAAAGGTACTTTGGGAACATAAAACCCATAGACAAATAACCGCAATACAAGACTATGGGACTGATATAAGGTGAAACAGTGCTAGAGAAAATGGTCGAGGGAGGGTCACAGGTAACATTAAAAGGCATCTCGTTATGGTGACTTCCTAAGCTTTCTATGAACAATTTTATAACATTTTATCGACCTGACAAGACAATGAGCTCTTTTGGTGTCTTATTTGTCTATACATGTTATCCTGCCCTTCTGCACCCAGTATAAAGCTTAAAGCGGAACAGATGTTTAATAAATATCTGCTGAATGGTCAACAGAGGTGGCATTCACAGAAGGCAGACCTTGAAGGATGAGAAGGATTCTGAGTTATAAGACAAAGGGAAAACTTTTCTTTCTGATGGGAAACTAAAGTGTTTTAATAAAGGACAACAACTAAGAGTATAAACACAGGATGGTATTTGTGTTACTCCCACTGGGGAAAAGAATTTAGAACTTTTGATATAACCCCACTAATTCAGTTGAATGTGTCTATTCATTCAATAATCACAATGATTTTCTTGTTGGAATAAATACCTTTGTAAGCATTCATTTAACAAAGGGTACAGGAGTGACGAAGATGAAATATAAATAAAACCAAGCCTGGCCTTCAAGCAGCCAACAGGGTAACTAATCGACAGATATAGAGAAAATTAATAAGAACTTGCAAAAGCAGACAAGTATTCTAAAAACCTCAGGGAGCACTGAGGAAGAAGGGATTGATCAGACTGCAGGAAAGGGGGAGAAGCTTATGGAGGTGGTGTAACTGAAAACTGGAAGGATGAGTAAGGTTTCATTCCAGAAAAGGTATTCGTGACATCTGCATAGTTCATTACGTTCACAAAATTCTTTCACACGTCCTCTCCCACTTAATCTACCCATGCAGTCTCAGTTTTGTAACCCACATATTAGAACCCAGAAAAACATGTATCTCAGGGACAGAACGCAATATGAAGCAAAACTACTTGAAAACCAATGTCGTGAACGAACAGAAACATTTTAGGCAGCAAGACAACCTGGGGATGGGGGCGGATGCCTAGGAGACCAAGGGCAGCCGGGCCCGACATCTGATTAAGGAGAGGGGAACCAGGCTGGGAGGGTGGGGCCGCCTGACAGGGGTCAGGGGGCTGCTCCCCCGAGGGAAAG